CCAGAATGATCCCCACTGTGCTGACAGGGGATTGGGGAGACCCTGAGAGGCAGGTGGCTTGTTCAGGATGACAGCACTGTTGAGGATGGGGAACCTGGTCTGAACCCCACTGTGTCCTCAGAGCTGAGGCCCTGGCTGCATCCAGGCCTCCCCAGGGCTATGGGGGGCGCTGAGTTTGTGTCACTGTGTATGGACATGGCATGGGGTGGGAAGTGAGCCATCAGCAGCCCAGGAAGGCCCTTGGGAGCTTTGTGTCAGGAGGAAGCTTGGGGAAGCAGACCCCAGGAAGTGACCTCAATTCCCTGGCAATAGAGCCCAACAGAACTTTGAACCTAGGTCACGAGGCACCCACTCTGTAGAGAAGTCCCTACTCAGCTCACTTGGTTGGAGACAGTGGCATATTCTGCTGCATCCCAACATCCCGAGGCCACAGCCTCTGGAAAGCCTGCAGCGAGGGTCTGTACCAATGCTGCCGGCACTGGGTCAGGTCTCACCCAAGGAGCCTCTGGCCTTTTGGCCAGAGGGACCCAAAGGTAACACAGGGAGGCCCAGGGCAGGCCTGCCTAGGCTGGGCCACCACTCAGATACCACCCAGGTAGCCCCACAGCCCCTTCCTGGCTGGTGGAAGTGGTGCAGTCATGTTGGTGTGGGGGGTCCTGCCTTAAGCAAGAGCAGGCTGAGGAAGGGTCAGAGGCCTGGGGGCCGGTCACATCCACAACCTGAGTCCAAGCTGGCTGGCTGGGATGTGGAGAGTCAAGGCAGGGCCCTGCTGCCTGAGGTGGAGCCCATGCCCTCTGGGTGTGTCTCTTCCCTCCTGGGTGACTGAGCTGACCAAGGTCCCAGTCTGATCTGGCAGTACAGGGTCAAGTGGGCAGAAGCAGGAGTGATCCTGGCTGGACAGGACTCTGAGACCTCTGGGCCGGGCTGGCTGCCGGTCACTGTCATTGCAGAGCCAGACACCGCAGGAGCTGGTGGACGAGAACACCCACGCCACTTCCCTGAGTGAGGGGCTGGTGCGCCACGCTTCTGAGGGCCAGTGCAGTCTCTGGTTGAATCTGAACATGGAAGGGTCCCCACCACCTTGGCCTCCTGTCCAGACACCATCCAGGCCTCTCCCCAGGGACCTGCCTGGGGCTGGCGGGCAGCTCAGCACCCCTGGCTCTGACCTGAAGCACCGTGCCCAACTCCCTGGGAGTCAGGTGGAGGAAAAGGAGCCCCCCAAGGCCAAGCCCCAAGGTGAGAAAAGCAGGGCTGGGTGCATGTGTGTAGGTGAGGGAGGGACGAGGGCTGGGCCACACAGGGAGGCGTCCCCAGAGGCTGCTTTTGGGACCAGAGCAAAGACTGGCCTCAGACCACCTGTCTGGAAGAATTCAGTCACAGAACACATCCTGTGGGCAGTTCCTGGGTTGGGGATGTCTGGAAAGCTCTAGGAAGATTTCTGTCCCTGAAAAGTTGCATGGAAAGGGAAGCATGTGGGTAAATTTGTCTTCTTTTAGAGCATGAGCACTTCCACAAGACTTAAAGCTCTCTCCACTTCCAACAGTTACAGATCCAGGGGATGTGGGGGCAGCGGAAGTTGCCAGAGACCAAAAACAAGACCGTCTGGATCCCGCAGAAGACCCAGAACGCCCTCCTGCAGCTCCTGCTGCTCCTCCTGCACCTGCACCAGCACCTGGACTGCTGGGCAACAGAGAACCAGTTCAGGCATCACCACCCCCTAGAGCTGAGCCCCCTCTGCGCCCACCCACACCTTCTCCAAAATCCCATCAATCCCATCCCCCACTAGAACTTGACTTCCCTTCTCCTGGAGATGTTTTTGTTTGCTTTTTCGGTAACTTCCTTTTTTTGCTTCACATCATTTATGGCATCCTTTATTTTTCTGTTTTAAGTTTTCTTTAATAAAATACAGACTTTTTCCCTTTTAAATTGTGCAATTCAGGAGCATTAAGTGCATTCACAATGCTGTGCAACCATCTCTACCACCTAGTTTCATAGTATTTCTTTCCTCAAAGTAAAACCCTGGATCCAGAGCATGCACTGCCCTTCCTTCCTCCCCTAGCCCCTGTCAACCCCAAGTCCTCTTTCTCTCTGGGTGTCTTTACCTCTCCTGGATGTTCCCTGTCATTGAAAATATATGTAAGATGGCTTTTTGTGCCTGCCCACATGTTTTAATCTGGGGCTGGTGATTTTTTTGTTTTGTTTTCACTTGAAATAGCATTTTTATTATTTGAAAGGGAAGTCCAGGTGGACTAAAGATGTGATGTACAAAATGAAGCCCTTTTAGAAATTCTGTACATAATCTCGGGGTAGACACTTCTGTTCCCCCTGTGATACCACAACCAGGAGACAGAAGGGAGATGCTTAGCTCTTCCTGTGGCAAAAACAAAACCAAACAAATCAAAAAACAAGCAAAAGCCCAGAAAAACAGATGGAAAGACAAACCACAATGTGGAGAAAGCGTTCCTCATGACCCAGTGTTGGAGAAAGCTTTCACATCCC